CAGGCGGCCACTGCCGCTGCCCGGGTACGGGGCCATCTCTCCCCTCGGCGTCCTCCGCCCCGCGCCTTTCCCCGGCGCCTGTAGCCAGTCAGGGGTGGTCGGGACGGATCGCAGCCCGGGCACCGAGGCTAAGGGGACCTCAAGAAATTTTCTTTTTTGCGCAAGTCAAATCATATGTGGGTATTAGGATGCCCTCGACGCGGTTTTTTCCCAAACTTGTCTTCTCGGGTATCTGACTAAAGAAATTTTAAAAAGTAGTGCTAGGAAAGTTCTCACGACTCTGTCCAGTGGGGAGGAAAGTGCAAAAGTGCCCCGCACAGAAGAGAATTCCGAAGCAGGCATTCGTACTCATTTATGTGGAAACTTTCTTGAAAAGCTACATTTAAGTTAGTAGTGATCTGATTTTTTTTTTCTTGAGGAATAACTAAGGGCAGAAAGATTTTTATTTTCTTAGGAAAGACAGCATGAGGTGATGCAGTGTTGCCCGTGCATTTCTCTGTCATGGTATTTCGAGTCTTTATTTGTGAAGTTTGAACGTGGAGTTCCAGCCCCTGAAGTACTTGTGATGGCACACTGCACAGCTTTCCTGGTTAATTCTCAGCCCGGTGTTAGCGACGCACCGTATTAGACGCTAAGAAAAGATTCTGGTAGTGTAGACGGTGGCTGCAAGGAAGTTTGTTTTTCAGAGATGAGAGAAAAAATTAAGTGCGCGGGAAAGGTGTATAGTCAAGTGCTTTGGGAAGGGCAGTACTTCGGTTTGGAGCTTCAGGAAAGGGTTCCTGAAATAGGTGGCATTTTTAAGGTGGGTACCAAAGGATGGGTAAGATTTTGTTAGGTAGCGGTGGGGGCAGGGAAAGGGCATTTCAAGGGTGAAGCTTATGCAGAAAACAAGCGTTTTCAAGTTTGGCTGAAGTGGATGGTATAAGCTGGGGGAGCTGTGGAAATTCAGGCTAGGAGAGGGAGCTTGCTTGCCAGTCGGAGGGGTTTATACTCAATATGGGAGGCTGCAGGGGAGCCCTCAGCTAGCGACACACTTGAGCTGTGCTTTATATAGTCAGTCACTTACAAGTGCCATTGGACAAGGAAAAGTTTCAAAGTTGAGAAATAATGAGAGTACTTAATTATCAGTTTTCACTTTTAGAATGATTATAAGAAGTGCAGAAGTTAAACAAGTTTAGCAACTTTCGATCCATTACTACTAGACAATTGTTTCTTCTTTCCTCATTTCTCATCCCAAATTACCTTTCTCTGTCCAGACTTACCGTTTTCATAGTAAAAACAAATAGGGGAGTGTTTCTAGCATTTCATTTACCAGGTAGAAAATTAGAGGATTAGTGCCATTGGTCACTGGACAAAAATGAGAAGTGAACTTACAAGTATGTATTTCCATGGTAATTTTTTAAGAAGTCAGTTTTGAAAAGTAGGTCGGAAAAGCAGTTATTAAAAAGGCAGTGGCTTTCAGATGGGTTTTTGCACTTCCTGTTCTTCCCCCTGGTGAGAGTTACCACGTTTTGTTTGAAAGGGTAACTAAGGCTGTTAAGCCAAACCCTCCTGCTCATATTTTGATTAATGTTTTACTAATCTAGGTACACATGCAGGGAATGTGTTTCCTAGAATTTTATGATATGAACCTATAGGTAGCATAGATATTAACTTTCTGTTTTTCCATTTTTTCTATACTGCAATAGGTCAGAGCAGTGATGCCTGTGAGAAAACCGAAGGGAACCAGAGTGTCATGCTTAGTAAAACTTCACAAACGGAGTATTGCATGAGACCAACTAGAAGCAAGTTGCTAAGGCGGGCTGTGGTTGTTGAGGTGTTAAGGATAAACATAAACTTAGAAGAACTAGTTGCTTTTATATTTTGACAGCTGGGAAAAACATAGAGGAGCTATAAAGAAGATAGAATTGTACGGCTCCATAGTACGCCAACAGTGGATGTTCAAGATTAAATTAGACTCAAGTTGTACGATTAAGAACACAGGTAAGTGTATAGTTTAGTTTTTATCATAATTGGTTAAATACAAAATTGTTTTTGCCTGAAAGAGCAGACCTTGCTTGATAATCTGGAAAACTGGTGGAACATAGTAGTATCCAGCTATCTCTGATAAAAGAGTTGTTAGTTTTAATTTATGGGTGTTTTTTAGATAGATGCAAATATCCTTTTTTCAAGAAACATGCTCGCAAAGGCTTAGAAAATTTTTCCCCACATTGCTTTTTGTAAGTGCTTGCTGTAACCCCATTTAGACTTGTATTGTCATTGATAATCTGTATTATTTGTGTTTGTGCACACTGGAAATCGCAAGTTTTCTTTTTTGCTCCTTCACTCCTTGACCAGCTCTTGAAATCTCTCACCCTTTGCAGAGATGGCCTAATCTTTTACTTAACTGAGAAGAGTAAGATGGGTAGCTGATAGAAACCTTGTGTTTCCCTCCCTTCTGCTTCCTGTTTTTCCTCTTTCTCTACCTAGGCGGTTCTCCTTTTCCTTTCGCTGCAGGAAGCATTGCCCTTCTTCAAACCCTACCGCTCTGCCTGGACTCTTGGTCCTGTCCACTGCTTCCTCTGGGATATAAGTCTGCCAATGCTGTGTTTTCTTGCATCATTACCCTCTGCCTCTACTGGTACCTTTCCCTCTCCTTATAGATATTCCTAGGTTTGGTCATCTCACCTGCCTCCTGTTTTCTTTTAACCAGCACTTTTATTTCTTTTTACCCTACTTAAATTTAAAATTTCTCAAATTGGGAAACTTGCAGAGCATGTATACTGTGTTTCCCTATCTTCTGTGCTGGGATTTCGTCAAGGTTAATCCTTTATTCATTTTTCTCTGGACTTTCCTCCCCTATGTTCAGTGTCTCTTGCCATACCCACTCTCTTTTCTAGTTTCTCATTTAGCATTTCCAGCTGCCAACTGACCATTTCCATCCAGATGTCTTAACTGTCTCAAAATGGCTGAAATTAAATTTATCTGGCACATAGTAGATGCCTGATACTGTTGGGTCATTGGGAAAGTTTTGATATTTTTCTATGTAAAAATGTGCCATGACTTTTGTGGCGACAAATATTTATTAACACCCCCCCCCCCCTTACACACCCCCTCAACACCACTCCTGCTTCTTACATTTTTTCTGTCAATGGCATCATCATTGTTCTGGGCTTATTCTTCTGTGTCCACAGAGAAATGAAGACACTTTTTTTTTTAAGGTTTTGCCATAGAGTATGTTCCCTTGCCAGAGAGAGAGAGAAAGAGACAGATAGGGAGGGAGGGAAAGTGAGAAGTTACCCCTAGAGGGATGGCCATGCCTACAATCCCTTCTCCACTTCCCTGGGGTTTTGGGCTTGTATGCATATGTGCTTGGCATGATTTTTTTTTTGGGGGGGGGGG